TTTATCGGGTATTCCCAGCGCAGATTGTGTAGCTCATTTAAATTATGAATTTTAATTTTTACTAATGTAAATACATGTATATTTCTCCTGACGTCTTCTTTTTTTGTTATTATCCTGGAGGATGTCCAAATAACACTGATCTTGTTCGTTGTTGAATTACGACTATTCTGGTAGGAAATGAGGAATATGAGCTGGGATCATTCTGTTTGTTTTCTACATTCTGTTTGTATGTATGCCCAAGTAATCCGTCAACCCAATCTCATAGGTACAATGTAATCATTGGTTTAAAGTCGATGTCTTGTCAAAACTGACGAGTTCCATCAACATGTAATGACCCTTTAACCAACCTGCCTATTTAATCATACTGCTTCATTTATCATGCACGTCTCTAAACCAAGTGACTGTAGTTGTAGGGACTGTAGATTTGTTGGGTCTGTGATTCAGTCTTTGTATGTTAGCGATTCATTATGTACACAAAAAAAACTTATATTCCAGCATGTTATATATTTTGAAATTAGTTGAGGTCGATTCTGAGGGTTTTTAACCTTTTCACCACTAGACTTTCTCATCCAAATTTGTTTGGATTTTTCTTGTATTCTTCAATATTTCTGGAAATGAATCTTAATTTTGCAGACAAAAATTTAGTCAATTTTCAGTTTTTACTAAAAAAAAAAAAAAATTGGCTATTTTTTCCCAATCTTCTGAAGAAAAGAGCATACTGTAAATTTGTGATGAAAAGAGGGAACTGGTGGTGAAAATGGTTAAGGAAAAAGACAAACTTGTAATGACTCCGAGTACTGTGCTTCTAAAGATTAAATAATTTATGGTGAACTCTAAATGGTGGACAGTATTTTTCGCAATAGACTAATAAAGTTCACACATCCTGGTACATTCTTGGCGTATTGTATTTTAGTTTGTACTACCAGAAAGTACCAGGATGTGTGACCTTTAGGGGTCATGCATACCCCCTTCCATATTATGTGAAGTGTGTCCTTTTTTATAAATGTATGCACAATCACTAATGAACAGTTGTTCTATTCTTACATAAGGAATCTGTCAAAATATATCAGAGAAAAATTAAAGTTTTCCCAAAATGCAACATGTTGTAAATTCTATATTTTGCTCAGACATAAACTCGTATATTTATTTTTTGTTGACTTGTTTCATGTGAGAGTTGTTTTGTAGTGTTATTATTTGCTGAACTATTTTAATTGAAGTTGAATCTGTACATATTTAATTATTTTTCAAGAAATTATACCTTTCTGTCAAATGCATACTATTATAGATATTAAAGGGGGCATTTTATATATGCTGTTTATGGTTTGCCTTGTAATTTCCATAGTATTGAACTTGGCATTACTAAAAAAAATCAATTGTGCTATAACAATGTCTTATTCAATTTTTGCTGCCTTCTTGACTTTTAAAGCGGGGGAGTCGTCACCTACGCATGCGACAGTCTGCCATAGTGTGTTGTTGTTTCCAAACAAGCATCTACCCATGAGCCTTTGCGTTATGGATGTGGTTTATTGTCGCTTGGAACTCAATTCTCGTGCATGCAGGTGCCGACCCTCCCGCTTTAATGTCAACCTCAAAGCTATATCATGCCAGGCAGCCTGCATGCTGCCTTGTTGATGAGTCTAACATGCCACCTCATGGTTGCATGTCCCC